CGAAATATTTTCTCCTGTCGTAAAAATGTCCTCCATTCGGACAGTTCTTGGTTTGACTGCCAGCCTTGATTTGGAGATTGAGCAGATGGATATGAAGACTGCTTTTCTTCACGGTGACTTAGAAGAGGAGATTTATATGGNTACCTCCTCTAGATGAATGAGACTGGAGGGGGAGATTGATATGGTGTCCATCTCATTCAAATGATTTGGTAGCCAATTTTGTTGACTTGGTTTGGTTTGGTAGCCAACCTTGTTGAATTTGTATAATTTGGTAGCCAATTTTATTGACTTGGTTTGGTTTGGTAGCCAACCTTGTTGAAATTGTGAAAAGGGTGTGTAAATTATCAAATATTGTAGGCTTTAGAGAGTGAGGTTTTAGCTATAAAAGGAGAGCTTTAACTCTCATTTCTACACACTAACAAAGAGAGAAAAGAGAGAGCAAGGTATTCCATAAACAATAAGAAAATAGTTTGTGAAGAAAAAATAGAGTGTGAGAGATATTGTAATGAGGTGGTAAAAAGTAAAAGAGTATTTATTTCTTTTGAGGGTGTAGTGGTCTTGGGAGTATTTTTTACTCGTTACTACACAGTGTAAAATTCCTCGCTATAGTGATATCAATTGCTCTTCTTGGCCGTGGGTTTTTCCCTTATTCAGAAGGGTTTCCACGTAAAATCTTGGTGTCATTATTGCTGCATTTCTATTCTTGCTGATTTAACCATAACCTAGTGTTCTGCGTTTATCACTAATACCGTGAATACTATTTTTACGGGGTTTATTCCCAAAAGAACTGACATCCACATTTACTTTGAGTCTGATCAACATCTTTTCTGTGTCCTACGAGTTATATGCTGCCACTGTTTGGAGTTAGAGTTAAGACTGAAAGAGTGTTTGCATGTAAATACCGGCCGATATTTACTCTCTTCATGTGATGCAACTTTTTTATGCAGGGAACAAGAAATTAAGCTGGTGAGGAAAGATCTCCGGGAAAAGATATTCTGGGAGATGAAGATTGAGAGTATGAAACATTAGTTAAAAGATCCCCAGATAGGAGCTTTGTCAGGATAAAAATACACGGCGTTTGTGGTATCTTTGGCCGATCATGAGAAGACAGGCTCAATACATATCACACAGAGTGCTCTCATTCATAAATGTTGCAAGGATTGACTATGATTCTTTTTTTGTTTTTGTTGAACAGTTCTTTGGAATTACAATTCATTTCTTTTTTTGTTTTTGTTGAACAGTTCTTTGGAATTACGATGTAAATGTTGAAGTACCTATATTCTTTTTAATAAAGAATATTTTACTTATTTCATGTTTTGTGTTTGTATCAAAGTTATTCTAAGCTCTAAAGTATTGGACAAGTTCAGATGTACTGGTGTGATAAACAGAGTTAAATATAAGTAGACAAATAAGTAAATAAAATAATGATTACAACCGCCATTCTGAGCATAACTATTTGGCACAATTGTGGCGGTTCAAAACAGCCATAATATGCAAATTAGAAACCGCCAGTTTATCAAAAAAAGAATATGGCGGTTTTCCGAAATCCTCCGTAATATGTTATTGGCGACCGTAATTCTGGCGTTTCAGTAAATATACAGAAATAACCGCCATAATAACACTTCTTTTTTGAAAACATAGATGTGATTACATGAAAGGAAAAATTAAAACGAAGAAGCATCTACCGAAAGGTTATAGAATACTTATTTATTAAACATAGAAATATGATCTGACACCTATATGTAGTTGAAATATCTCCACGTGTTCAACTTTGAAACCTGCCACAAAATATTTCGATTGTCCTTGCTTGCATGCTATTACTACCTAGTTTGCTAGTCCAACTGCCACGCTCCCTACCTACTTTCCCATGCATCTTTTCTTTATTTTAATTTTAATTTTTATTTGGGGTTGGTTATTTGCTTTAAATCCGATTAATTCACATTCGTGTAACTTAGGACACAAAAGAAAAAAGAGCGGTTTTACCAGATATTTTTTCATTTCTAAAATTCAAAATTCAATTTTTTATTATATTTGGTTTTCAATGTTAATTCTGCATTGTTTGCATTCCTAATGCAACATTTACTTCTGATATAAACTTTCGAACTACTAATATCTGCATAATTCATACAAAATTTTTATTTAATGTTTCATAAAAATTAAAAAGTAAAATAAGAATATTCCTATAAAATGATAGAATGAAAATACATGTAATAGTGCTACAAAGATTGTAATAATTCTGGACCTTTCTTTTTAATAATTTTACATAACAATTCATGCATTATTATCTATTGCTTAAGAAGTATTTACCACATAATAAGTCCAATACCGTGAATCAAGTTGAAGGATTAGGAAAGGTAATCACAAAATTAGCATAAATAAATAAAGTATTTGATTACAGATATCAAGAAAAAAACATTTTGAGTAATAAATTAATTTGTTGGTGGTAAAAAAAACATAAATTTTTATATCGTTCATGTCACTTTTAACTGGTTATATTTATTATAACTTGCATTAAGTTATATAGAAAATCCGTATATTTGTTAATATGAGATAGAATGTAGCGTACAAAACATGTGTATTAAGAACATGTTAATATGGGATAGAATATGATACATTTTAATTGTTCAGAAAATTGCTTTCCATTGTTAATAGTACTAATTGATGTTTTGTTACAGAAATTACTTACAGCTGCTTTTTAAAAGATGATAATAAAACCTATGGCCGAAGTCCGATTACACACTTTTGTTTTACGGAAATCCATTTACCCCTCGAACTAAGTGGAATAATCTCCTTGAAATTTCATAACTAGATTATTCTTGAGAGGTAAAATACATTCACCTGCATGTTATCGTTGTTGCCGAATTTTTAAGAAAAGGACGGTATATTTTCGAAAAGAAAGGAAAAAGAAGTTAGTTAAGTTTATATTATAATTAATTAAGTGTCATATGCAATAAAAAGATGACATATGTATATATAATCAAATTTGATTTTTTTTTTCTAACACAAAGATAAAATTAACCCATAATGATTGAGAAAAAATTACCCATCTAAGTCAAAACTACATTTTTTAAAGAAATTGTGGCTTTGTTATATGGGAAGAAGAAAAGAAGTAAAAGAAAAAGAAAAAGGCTACAATAGTAATCAAATTTTTTGGTTTCACTCTTTCGAAGAGCGTGAAATATACACACTTTGCACGTCATATTTAGTGTGGTAATAATTTCATTTAAAAGAATTTAAAAAGAAAAATGTAAAATAATGCCCGGTTAGTGAAATGGAGTTCACTTTTGTTATTCGGTCGTGTACAAAAGTAGCAGCTTGATTCTTCTCTTTGGGCTTTTGCTCTGTTTTCTTCACTTTCCCTTCTGCCCATCACTTCTTATCTTCCTGGTATTCTCCTCTCTTCCCTATTCTTTTTTCTTCATGTTAATACTTGTTGCTGTAGATTTCACGGTTCTAAAGTTAGTAGCTTGTATTTTTCTTAATTCAATTTTGTATTGAGAAGAATTGTATACTTATTCAATTACCCATAACTAAATACTTAGTTTCCATGATTAAAACTGGTTTCTCAGAAATAATCACTTACTATATTTTTTTTTTTTGAGAATTTTCATTTTGTTTGTTGTGGTTGATTTTGTTTCTGTTTTCTTATTGAGGGAAAGAAATGAATTGCCAATTTGGTCTTCTTAGGAAGGTTTATTTGTTGTACAAGTGGTGGATTTTTTTTTTTTTGACTTGGGTGTATATGAAATCTAGCTGATAATTTTTTTTAATTGTTTTTCCATTTTTAGAGGTATACTCCTTCTGTTCCAATTTACGTGACAATATTACTGTTTGAAGATGGGACCATGCTAATTTATTACTATTAATATGACTTTTGGAGTATTAATTTTATGTAATTTTCAAATATCTAAATTTAATTCCAAAATTTGAAGGATCTATGACTGAGATCACATACAAAATTAACAACTTTGACTCTCTTACTCCGAACCTTGCCACATAAAGAGGAACAAAGCTAGTGTTACTTTTTCTGGTGAAAAATGTTGACTTTATCTCTTTCTGAGTCTTGTCTTCTTATTGGTATATTTGTTGCAGTAGTTTTGGTTTTACTTGCTTTTGTTCATTTAAATTGATATTGTGATCATGCAGGGAGATATAACATAGAGATTTAAGTTATTTCAAATTATTAGAATACTTCTTTGTTAAGGTTCCGGGACAGGATATAGCATTTCCATGGGAAAGAAAAGGTCAGACTTTAGGTAATTATTAGGGGAAAAAAAAATATATACTTTAAGTTAAAGAATAAATCTTTTTGCGGCCAGTGTCTCCCTTAAATTCTTATGGTATTTTGGAACGCTTTGAGTGTTCAATGTGCATTTTTCATGTTGTTATGTATAATACTGTTCATTGATATAATATCACAGCGATGGGGTTTTAACTTAGGCTGCTTCTTTTGATTAGGCAGTTCTAAGTTACAATGAAGGGTGGAAAAGGAAAAGGGGCGTTGAGAAAAGAAACAAGGTCGGCACTGAAGCCTGTTGAGGACCGGTGAGTAGCGTTCTAAATTTTGTGAATCTGGCTTTATGTGCAAGTATTTCCAGTGTTGGTAACTTGATGTTGCATAGACCTTTCTGCAATTGTAGCTGATGCTACGACTTTTCGGGAATGAAGTTTTTGTGATTTTGGTTTTGATATTTCGTGTTGGCACAGTGATTAATTAGTGAATGTCTGTCTCTCTTATTTTCAGAAAGATAGGGAAGAGAAAGGCCACATTGAAGGACGATAAACGGAAGGCCAAGAAGGACAAAAAGGCCAAGAAAGATCCTAATAAGCCTAAGAGGCCTCCCAGTGCCTTCTTCGTATTTCTGTAGGCTTCGTCTTTTATAATAAATTCTAGATTCAGTGGCATATCTATTGTTGCGTGATATAACCAACAAATGATCATGTATGCTACTGCAGTGAAGAATTCAGGAAGACGTTTAAAAAGGAAAATCCTAACGTGAAGGCTGTATCAGCTGTAAGCTTTTTATGGTTATTTCATAAGTATTGCCTCCTTTTAATAGCTGGTTCTGAGCAACTGATTTCTTCTTGGTTTAATGTCATAAATGAAGGTCGGAAAAGCTGGAGGAGAGAAGTGGAAATCTATGAGCGCAGCTGTAAGTAAATCAATTCATTTCCGAACATTAGTGATTCAAGCAGCCAACTTGGCACACTCATAATGTCATACTGTTATGCTGTTATACCAGTTAAAGGTCGAAAAATTCTTTCAGCTTCTCATTGAAATTACTTGGCGGCAGAAATATTAGCATTTATTTTCACAATAAAGATGGATTCTCTTTTTTTATGGGACAATATCTACTCATATTAACGTAATGAGGTCGCTTATAAGGCTGGTTTTACGTATTGAAAGGAAAAAGCACCATATGAAGCCAAAGCAGCAAAAAGGAAATCAGAGTATGAAAAGCTCATGAATGCTTACAACAACAAGCAGGTTAACTTATTGTAACTTGTTTCCTTTTCAAGATTCCTATTATCTATGCACAATATCAGTCATCACTATAAAGCTAGAAAAGGGAGCTTCCTTGTTCTAACTTCATCAATTGAATTAGCCGGAAAGCTCAGACGATGATGGCGAAGAAGAAGAATCTGAGAGGTCAAAATCTGAGGTACATGATGAAGATGCAGAGGGCAGTGGGCAGGTATTATTATTTTTCAGTCCTATAAAGTAGTCTTAGTGTGACCTATAAGTCATGTGTTCGAGCCGTGCAATCAGCCACTGATGCTTGCGTCAGGGTAGGTTGTCTACATCACAGCCCCTTAAGGTGTCGCCCTACGTGAAGCGGGATGCTTTGTGCACCGGACTACCATTTACGGTTCTGTAGCGTTTTATTGACTCTGTAGTTATGAGTGCATCAAATAGTTTTTGAGTATATGTCGACAAGGCTGTAGTTGGCTCACAGTTACCCCTTCTTTAAGGGTGTTAAAACAAGAGAGTTGCTGGGTCATAACTCTGCATCCTTAAGGGTGTTAAATATTGGGTTTATTGATCCTTCTAGTTGTATTTTTAGGCCCTTCTCTTTGGGGTGGGTAATGCCTTTTTTGTCTTTGCTGATGCGTGAGGCACATTTTTTATTGCAAAAATGGATGAGGGAGCAGATCTTCGATGTAAAAGTTCGAATATTGACGTTTTAGGATTGATTGATCCAACATGAATCTGTATAGTTTGAGAGACATTTAATACTAGAACCTTGTGCCTGAGAAGCCAAGTCATGACAATTATCATGGATGCCGAGGGGTTTCGACAAAATTATTGCTAAATTCGTAATAGATTTGATGTCAGATGTGTGATTTGAATCTGCTCTATGAAATCTGAGAAGGCAAGCAATATAGCACCTATCCCCTATTATGAAGCTAGTTGTTAATTAGTGTATAAACCATTTATGCCTGTTCTCTTTTGGGATTTGGGATTCATTATCAGAGTTGCTGTGCTCCTTTAATGGTGCATAGTTTTGTATTTCAAGTAGACTCATTTATCAACAATGTTTCATATCGGACTTACTAGTGCTCGACAATCTGTAGGGTGAAGAAGAAGAGGAAGAGGAAGATGATGAAGACGAGGACGATGATTGAAGCTATGTGCTTCAAACACTTAGTTTTTGTACTTATTGCCATCTGACAAGGGTAATCTGTAGGGTGAAGAAGAAGAGGAAGAGGAAGATGATGAAGACGAGGACGATGATTGAAGCTATGTGCTTCAAACACTTAGTTTTTGTACTTATTGCCATCTGACAAGGGTAATCTGTAGGGTGAAGAAGAAGAGGAAGAGGAAGATGATGAAGACGAGGACGATGATTGAAGCTATGTGCTTCAAACACTTAGTTTTTGTACTTATTGCCATCTGACAAGGGTTGAGTGACTGTATGTGTTTATGCTGTATTTTCTGTTACCTAGTTTGGGTCACGGGGTCTGCCGAAACACTTGAATGAACTTGTATATGTATATGATGATACGTAATATATATATGGCATGTCTTTTATCTGACTTCAGATCTTTGTTGATTCTTCTGCAAAACTGTATTTTCTTACAACTATCTTGCTACGTAGTACGCGTGAATTTATCTGCACTCTTGAGGTAAGAAATAATTGTTGATCAAATACGACATAGATATTTGAATTGCCACATGTACAAGGACGTAAGTCTAACTCTGTTCTTCCAATTTTAAAATTCATATTCCCCAAATAGCAGCTTCTCTAATCGACCCTATTTATTGCATTGACTACGTCTCAATTACATACTAGTTGGATCGCGATATGAATTGACTCGCTCTTTGATGTTTTATACTTCAATACCACACAAGAGGAGGTGATTTGTGTGGTACCCAATTTTCGCTTAACTTGATTATAAAAGGACCTAGTTCTTCTATGTGTTCCAACTACTACTGTTGCGGAATAATAAATACAGAAAATAAAGAATACAGATATTTTACATGGAAAATACCTGGCTCAAAAGGTGAAAAAACCACGACCTACCTTCCAGTAAGATTTTCCCAAACTCTCCACTAAAATCACTGAGCCAAAAACTGTGTTTACAAACACTCTTTTGTAAACCTAGGATTAACTCTAACCCCTTTGTGGCATACAACCTCAACTGTTGCGACAACTTCAAGTTAACTCTAATTTGAAAACTCTAAGTACCTAATACAATTGCTTCTAAATAAGCTGAAAGGTACAATGTAAAGTCACTTACTACAATTGAACTAGAATAAAAGATAGACACTTGGAACTGGTTATTCTATCTGGCTCAATTCACGTTTAACTTATGTTTATATGCATTACCTATAAAAGAAAACAACACTAATATTTAAGGAGTTAGCAATTAGAGATTGACTAGGATACAGATGCTACTCTTCCATGGTGGAAGAGTTCTAGTTGATCTCATACTCTAACTCTATTTTTTTCCTAAACCGTGTTCTCTTTGTGTAAGGAGTCTTTCTCCTTATCCAATATGCAACCTTTTCGATCATGATCAGGAGATAATACTTCTGATATGTTAGGTTTATCTTCTTCACATACATCTCACATGTTTGAGTTGATCATAACTGTGCTTTACAAGATGGACCTAGTCCATGTCTGAGTTCCTTTGTCAGTCTTCAAAACTTCACCTTTACTTGGGCCAACAAAATCCTCCTTTTTGATGATGACAAACTCTGTACTTTTCACTCACTTAGGCCCGGTTAGAACTCAACTTTTTCATCAATACAAAGTTAGAAAAATTTACTTATCATCAAGGACCAGGTTCAGTAGGTTATACACATCACTTATTCAGAATATATAAAGCACAATATCTCTTCCCCCTTTTGGCATCATCGAAAAGTTGCATAAACAAAGTGTGAGTCCCAGAATTTTAACAATTACTCATGGCCACTAGGGCAACTGCAAGTGCAATCATGGATTAATCATCAGTAATTAAGCAGACATATTCAAACTATCAAGGAAATATTAACAATCAACAAGAGCAAAAACAGTAGATGTCATTGAAAGAAGATATGTTGCTACCACAATCCACAAAAAAGAAAGCAAAAAAATTCAAAACATGAGCAAAATAAAGAGAAATCCCTAATCTGGGTCACTGGTGGTACTAGACAGGTTTAAGACCTGAAGGCTAGAAGTCTTAAGGCTTGGGGGAGCTAGAGGGTTGGTTTTGGGCTTGGAGAAGGTTCAACATATTTTGAAGAATGCCATCATTCTTCTCCTTTTCCTTGGTGAGCTTAGTTCTAAGAGCATCCCTCTCATATTCAACCTCTGCTAAGCGAGCCTTTAGCCTAGCTAATTCAGCATCCTTGGCCCCACTTTCCTGAACTAGAGCCCTGACTTTACTATTGATAGGTGTCTTCTTGGATGAACCAGGTTCATTAGGAATGACATTGACTGGATAGTCACAGGCAATCAAAGTATTTATGCCAAAATGGTCTTTGCTTGTGGCCATTTCCCACTTCTTCAAAGGCACCTTGCACCGATCCAGAACAGTAGTCAGAATAAATTCATAAGGGGTGGAATGGGCCTTGGAGCCATTGATAACCCTGTCCAGTAGCTTGATGATGAATGCAGGCCAGTTGATTTGTCTTCCACTTTCAAAACACTTCATCAGAACTAAGTCCATATAGTTAGCAATGTGCCTTCTTTCCTACCTGGGCAGTAGGCACTTGTTACAAATTCAAAGAGGACTTTGTGTTGTGACTTCATTTCACTCTTGTGCACAAACTTGGTCTCATTCACTTCTTCAACATCATAGAATCTTCTAGTGATTTCAAGGGCAGAAGGAAGGGAATCCAGACTGGGCCATCTTTGCCTACTGTAGTCATCATATTCCTCAGCAGGGATGTCAAGAATCTCACCCAGTTTCTCTGCATCTAAGTCACCTGAACTCCTTTTACTTGGCTGGTAACTCTGCCATCCTTGACCTCTGCATTGTCCATGAATTCAATGATTTCATTTCTAGCTAGCCTTTTATCCATTTGAAGGACCATGTCCTTCTATCCCTGAGAAACTAGTGCATCAACCAATCGAACCATTCCTGGTTCCACCAAGTCTTTCAGCAATCTACCCTTCAGAATTTTTCGTTTGCCAAACTTGGCACGCTTGTCCTGTTCACCATCAGACTCACTCTCTTCTTCACCACTCCATTCTTAATTCTCAGCAATTTTAACTGGTTTGTTTTTCACTGCAGACCTTGTCCTTTTGGCCAATGAAGATTCAACAGCCTTAGACCTTGATGGAGACTTCTTGGAAGAAGTCTTGGTCTTTTAAGGCTTGGAGGTCTGAACCTCCACAGTTGTAAGTTCCTCCTAATGGACCTGTTCCATCTCCTCAACATCAACAGTCTCAGAAGGCTCTACAACCTTAGCTTTTCCTTTATCTATCCTCTTCTTCTTGCTTTCAGCCAAAGCTTTTTTTAGTTCACTCTTACTCTGTTTCACCATACTTCTTGTGGCTCTCCCCTTAGGCAAGGGAGTTTCAACATTTGTTGGGGAATTGGCCTTTCTTTTCTTGGTATTCTTTGTAGTGCTGGGAACCTTAGGTGTTGGTGTTCTCTTTTTCTTGGGATTATAACTGGCACCTACTTTCTTGAGAAGATCTGCTAGGGTTTCTTCAGTAGATGAACCAGGTTCATCCACATGAGAACTTAAGTTTACCAAACCCTCAGCAGCCTCTCCTGATCCACTTTTCCCTGTTTTCTTGCCAGTTCTCCTACAATAATTTCATCCTCAGTCCCAAATTGCTGGTCTAACCGTCTCTGAGATGGATGATGACTCAACCATTTCTATCCCTTATCCCCTCACATCACAACTTGCACCCTCACTTTCTTTTTCTTTTTCATTTTTATTTTTACCTCCTCTCCTTCTCAACTCAGGCAGTTCTATGTTTCTAACAAACCCAACAAGAACAAACCTATTTTCTACACTTTCAATCAATACAGAACGTACCTTAGAAGGGGAACTCTGAATCTTCTCAGAGTCAGAAGACGCAGGTCCTTTCCCCTCACTTGCAGACTTAAAAAATCATCTGAGTGTTCAGATTCTTGGGCTTGGGTAGCCTTCAATTGTGTGTTCAATCTCTTCGACAGTGCACCTGTAGCTACAGTTTTACGAGCGAGCATTTTAACACATCTCTTCTTAGGCTGGGGGTTATACTGGGTGGATGAGGTATGGAGGAATCAGAAGGGGAGAGTTGTGGAGGAGTGCCTGGATTATCTTGAGGGTTCGACATTGTAACTGATATCATGAGAGAGTTTGTGAGTTTGACTTTTGGAAGAGAGAACAATTGAGGGTGAAAGAAATTTTTTGACGATTTGGAATAATAAGGGTGACAGAAGGTGATGATGAGTTTTTAAAGAGAGAAACTTATTTAATGACTAACGATAGCTTTTTGCAGTCAATTAGAGGTCTAATCAACCTGAAATTTTAGGTTGAATGAGCGGTTAAGCTTCCCTGAATTTTAGGCATTTTATGTGGTGAGAATTCTAGTAGAGACGAAACTGGTTAAAAAATAAACGGATAGGATTTTTTGATGTTTTTGAACATAGGTAGGGCTCTGCTCATGATTTAAATATTTATATTTCTAATTATGCAGAGAATAGAATACATACCTCGTTATTCAGATGAACCAATACTGATGAACCAGGTTCTTCATTTAGAATCCTCTTGATCATGCTCAATTTATCAAAATAGAGAAAATTTTGTTAGAGATCGGTGAGTCATATCAACACATGTCACAGGACTATACTATTTACAGTATGAAACAGAGTAAAAATTAATCTACATATTTACACAAGTTCCAGATTTCCTAGCTAAAAAATTAATAATTTTTTTTTCAAATTTTTCTTAGGTGATCTTAATCATCCCTAATTCTAACCTGTTCCTTTCAAAGTTTTCTCTACTCAGTGCTTTAGTAAAGATGTCAGCAATTTGTTTATCAGTAGCATAGAATTCTATAGTAATCAATCCTTTCTCATAGTTGTCCCTGAAGAAGTGATGTCTAACATCTATGTTCTTAGTCCTCTTATGATGAATTGGTTTCTTAGTCATACTAATAGCACTAGTGTTATCACAAATGATGGGGATGCAACCAACTTCAATGCCAAAATCCACCAGCTGCTGTTTGATCCAAAGCAGTTGAGCACAACAAGAGCCAGCAACAACATACTCAGCCTCAGCAGTGGATAAAGCCACTGAATTCTGCCTTTTAGTGGCATATGATACCATACATGAACTAAGAAAATGAGTCATACCTGAGGTGTTTTTCCTATCCATAAGGAAACCTGCATAGTTAGCATCATCATATCCTACTAGATTAAATTTACTACCTTTAGGGTACCAAAGGCAAAGGTCAGTAGTGCCTTTCAAATATCTCAATATCTTTTTGACAGCAGTCAAGTGGGATTCCTTAGGATTTGCTTGAAAACGAGCACAAAGCCCTACACTGAAAACAATGTCAGGTCTGCTAACAGTAAGATACAGAAGTGAACCAATCATACCCCTATACAACTT